CTACAATTTTAAATCTGCAGTGAACTCTTTTTTGAGGGGCTTTCTGCATTCAAACTCAGGGACTCATTAAGAGAAACAAAGTGAGTGTGTTTTTCACACTAGTTTTAGCTCTCTGTATGCTCCTCTTTGCTTTAATGAGTAGGCATACAAACTAAGTGTACTGGAGGTTTGCCTTTGTTTTTTTTCACAGCTTAATGATGTGTTTGTTAGACTAATAGAGAGGAGATTTGTTTGTTTGAAATAATTTACAACAAGGACATGAAGCAAGGCCCTGTGTTGTTTGGCAATGGTTGCATTCCTGTCTGCCTGGAAGTAAATGATTCAGTTTTGTTTATTGTGGGAGTTTACAATTAAAAGTAAAGGGGCTTTAGAGAATAAGGCCACTTCTATAGACATGTTCAGATATTGTTTAGCAAGAATATGTGTGTTCTCTGCTCAATGGGAGAATGTTCTTCTACAGGTGTGTTAAATTAGAGCAAAGTGTAATAAGCGTTTTTTGTTTTTAATTTAATTGTAAAGAAGGGCTGTTGTGAGTTAATAATTGGATGTGGATTTTTATGATGGATTAGTTTCAATTTAAAGCATTTTCTATTCCAAAAAAATTAAATAGGACATAAATTACCCTTAAATATACATAATTGTTCTTTGGCCGACCCCTGATGACAAGTGTTGAATGAACTTTTGTGACAGAAGAGAACATTAACTTAAAATTCTTGCAGTTTTGCGCTCCTTTTTGTGGTAAATGCGTAATGGGCCTGCGAGGGACTAGTTTCCTATTCAAGGTGTATCCCACCCTGTACCCTGTTGCTTGTGGAGACAGGCTCCAGCTTCCTCCCGATGCTGAATTGAATGAAGCAGTTAAAAATTCGATGGGTAGTGTAAAGGTATTCCTCCAGGGTTTTAGCCAAGAATTAATCTGCCGCATTTTATTTTTTATATGACGTTATCTTAATCCTACTCTGTTGTAAAACCTGGATTATGAAGTAATGTATTTTTTATTTGCTGCAGCGAATCAATCAATGTGCCCATGATTCCTCTGGGGCTGAAGGAGACAAAGGAGGTGGATCTTGCTGTTCCTCTAAAGGTGAGACATCACTGTGGAGGAGCTCATTCTGAAAGGCCAAGGTGTTTTAACTCACTAGCCTGTGTCTTCATCTGGTCTGGCATCAGAGTTCAGATCTAACTCGGGGCTTTTCACTGGTTCATCTTAAAACATCATCCAGACATGGGTGGAGTGGTGTGAATGTTTTAATATCTTTGAAGACTTTTCTGTTCAACTGTTTGTGAAGAGCTTAAAACAGAAAAAATAGAAGATGGATATCAAAATCACTACTTCAGAAACTGTAGCACACATTGAACCTCTCTATTCTGGCAACATCTGTGGCCTGGTTTGATTTTAGTTAATTGAATATCTGCTAATTAACGGGTGATGCCAAGTTTCTAAATGTTGGGCAAGTTTTTTGTATAGCCATCAGTTCTGCCTCTCAGTGCTCTCCTTATGTCTTCTCTGTTTTCTAAGAGACCTGCAAGAAGTGGAGGTGTTGGCCGTGCTGCTATGCGAGAGTGTGTGAATGTCATTACATCAGAACCTGCAGTTGTTGCATAAACTGGAAACGGCGCATTGGTACTGATGTGTTGTTTAAGAAGCACACAAATCAGATTGTTGCTGAAAACAAGTAGTGTTAGATGTTGAAGGAGCGGAAAAGCAGTAATTTAGGTAGTATATTTATACACTGATTCAAGCTTTGTCAAAATGAATGTGTTTCCATTTCTGGCAAGATAATGGCAAAAATAGTCCACAAAAAACTTCCTGCAGCGTACGATTGTTTGCTAGGCTGACTTCCAAAATTAAAATTGAAAAACAGATGTACGTCTACATTGTGCGACAGTCAAAGCCGCCTCTTTGTATGGTTATGAATTTGTACAGTTATCTCCAGAGGAGGTGTACAGTGACTTTCTGCAGTGCACTACAGTGCCAGGGCATCTGTTGGCATTGTATGTCAACTGATGTACACATCTGAGAAGCATAAGTGCAAGCTTGTTGTCTTTGGGTAAAGTGTGAGCCCAAGGGCATTCAAAGGAGTGAAAAATATCCCCAGTGATATACAATTGCAAGAAAAAGTTTGGGATCCCTTTGAAATTGCCTGGATTTCTGCATTAATTACTCATAAAAATGTAATTTGATCTTCCACTAAGTCACAATAATAGACAAACACAATCTGCTTAAACTAATAACACACAAACAATTGTACTTCTTGTCAATATTGTACACATCGTTTAAACAGTCACAGTCCAGGCTGGAAAAAGTATGTGAACCCTTGTCCCTTGTATTTAAGTACTAGTAGAACCTCCTTTAGACCATTCCTCCTTACAAAACAGGTTTCAGTTCATTGGTATTTCTGGGATTCCTTGCGTGAACAGCTCTCTTCAGGTCATGCCAAAGCATCTCAATTGGGTTGAGGTCTGGACTCTGACTCGGCCATTCCAGAACACAAATTTTCTTCTGTTTAAGCCATTCTGTTGTTGATGTGTTTCAGGTCATTGTCTTGGTGCATCACCCAACTTCTATTAAGCTTCAAGTGACGGACCGCTACCCTGACATTCTCCTGTAAAAGTTCTTGATACAATTTTGAATTCATTGTTCCTGCTATGATAGCAAGTTGTCCAGGCCCTGAGGCAGCAAAGCAGGATGAGATTTTGGTGTTGGTGTGCAGTGCTTTTTCCCCACCAAACAGCGTTGCGGGTTTCTGCCAATTAGTTCAACTTTTCTCGCATCCATCCACAGAACACTGTCCCAGCAGCATTGTGGAACATCTAGGTGGTCTTTTGCAAACATGAGACGTGCAACAATGTTTTTTTTTTTTGGAGAACAGTAGTTTTTTTATAGTGGACACATGAACAGAGACTTTGGCAAGTTCAAGAGATTTCTCCAGGTCCTTTGCTGTTACCCTAGGGTTCTTTTTCACCTCCTTCAGCATTACACGCTGCGCTGTTGCCCTGATCTTTACAGGACACCCACTCCTAGGGAGAGTAGCAACATTACTGAATGTCCTCCATTTGTAGGCAGTTTGTCTTACTGTGGATTCATGAACACCCAGGCCTTTAGAAGTACTTTTGTAGCCTCTTCCAGCTTTATGCATCTCTACAATTCTTCTAAAGTCCTCTGATGTGTCTTTTAATCAGGCCATGGTTCACATGAACAACTCTTTCTTGAGAAGAGCAGGCTCTGTCAGTAACCAACCTTTGTGTGCCTTTTTTAAAGGGCAGGGCACCTCCAAACCCACACCTCCAATCTCATCTCATTGATTAGAACACCTGTCTCCAATTAGCTTTTGGAGAAGTTATTAGCCTAGAGTTTCAGTACTGACAAGACGAAGTACAATTGTTTGTGTGCAATCAGCTCAAGCAGATTGTGTTATTGTAGTCTATTATTGTGACTTAGCTGAAGAGACAGACCACATTTTTATGAGTAATTAATGCAGAGATCCAGGTAATTCCAAAGGGTTCACACACTTTTACTTGCAACTGTTTCAACCTATACAGTCTGAAAAAAAACAACATTCATCTTCATCTGCCAGGGTTTTATTTTAGAAAACAGACTATTCCTAGGCACAGAAAAGGAAAGGTGGCTGCTCAGTGGTTCTCTAGATTAAGCACATCACACCAATCTTCCTAAGAGGTTACAATTCTTTGCCAGAGCTCAGACATCCATTAAGATTCCAAAGCAGTGTGGATGAAATCTGTTCTTTCTAACTAGGAAATGTAACTCTGACGTGTACTACAGAGTAGTGCGGCTTTGTGTGGCTCTCTGACTCTGTCCCCTGCCTCCACAGGACTTCATCTGTGAGCACTATGGAGAAGACGGATCACAGTACGAGAAGGAGATCAAGGAGCTCATGGACCTCAGGCAGGTGAGTATCTGACATATCGGTTACCAAAACATGTCCCGGTATTTTGAAAACTTGCAAAACAATTTATGTGCTATTATTCTTTGTGCTATTTAGCTTGAGTAACCACTGGTTGAGGGGCTGTGAAGAACCAGTTTTTTCATAAAACACCTCTTTCAGTGGAGCAGGTGTGGGAGTCTCATGGCGAGGATTTTAAGAGCCTTTAAACAGGATTAGAGCAGCACAGAGTATATCTTAAAGGGGGGTCATCCATTACAATGGAAAACTACATGAAGTGTTTTAGTGTGTCCCCAAGCTGAGAGAACTAGGAATGCAAAAGACTGAAAAATAAATGTAATTTTATGGGCTGCTCCTTTCAAACCCAGAGCTCGAAAATATAAAGGGAACAATTTCAATATAGAAAAAAAATAATAACTTACTCTAAATATCCTGTTATTCATCCATAATAGAGAGAAAGGCTGGCTTTCTATTTCCAATGTCAGTTTGGTAGTATATGACCCAAAAGAACAGGAGTGCAGTTCATAGCTTCCCAGCAGTAGAGATAACCACTTAGTCTTGTTTACCGTTCACAGTATTGAGGCTTTAGCCACTAAAGTCTGTTCCTGCAGGTGACACTTGCCTGCTTCCACTTTGACAGCAGTGAGCCACTATCTCATAACTGGTTCAGTTTCTCTGGGATATAACCAGAATTCTGATACGTTATCACTTCAGTGTGATACACTTTCAAGTTTTCAATGTGTATGTGGGTCCTTGCTTAACTGGTGTCTTTAAATGGCTGTTTTAAACTGCTATAAATGGAGAAAAAGTGGACTGACCTTCTGAAATGAGAAGCATAATGCCTTCAAAGCCAGCACAGGTTTGCCTGAGCTTGTCATATGTGTTCTTCATGTGTATCTGGTCAGGTGACTTTTGACCCCTGCTCTGTGAAATCTCAGCCCTCCTCCATTGCGAATTGCTGCCTGCAAGAAAGCAGAGTGAAAACCAGAGTAGGAGTGGCTAACCTTTCCACCCCTCACAGGCTGTTTTTGTCACAGGACATTTAACCCTGTGCAGACTTCCATTCCACCCATTCAGTAGCACTAAAACCCCTGTTACCACAGCAGATCTCCACAAGACTTTACTAGTAGTTGGGAGACCTGATTCCCATTTAAATTAAAAGTGGTTTTAGCATGTGTAGGACCACTAACTTACAACAGAGTCTTTCATATTTCCAGCTCTTCCATATTTGATAATTGTTTCTCCTTTTTTGTGTGAAAATTGCACATTGTTGTCGTGAACTTATGAATGAAGTTCTTCAGAGCTGGTGTTACTCCATGGTGTGAAAATGCTGGCTGCCTCATCAAAACCAGCCTTTAGAGAGCTAAGAGTCTTCAGAGATATAAACCACTATAAAGCTACTTTGGAAGTTTCTGCACTATAGAAACTGGTTTAAGAATAAAAAGAACCAGGCTTCCTTCGGCTTTGTGAAATCCCCGCTGAAGTAAACTGGTGTCTGCTTGCACCATCTGGCTTCACTTGTGCCTCTACAGCACTTTTTCCAGGGAGACATCTTAGTAAATATTAGTTTAAGTGTCAGCTTAATTGAGTGTGTGTGTACATTTCTGAATTGTCCATGGTTTTATTATTTTGGCAAAAAATAGTTGGAATTCTAAATGGAATAGGGTGGCACAGTGGTGCAGTGATTTGCTTTGCTGCCTTGTGGTGCTGGAGCCCTGCGTTCAGTTATTGGGGTACTATATGTGTGGAGTTTGTATGTTCTCTCTGTGTTTGCGTATTTTTTTTTTTCTGGGGGCTCAGGTTTCCTCCCACAGTCCAAAAAAATTCTGGTAGAATAATTGGCTTCTGGGAAAATTGGCCCTAGTGTGAGTGTGGGTATTTTTGTGACAGTGTGCTGTGCGGTGGACTGACATCCATCCAGGATGACTCCTGCCTTCTGTCCGTTGCTTACTGGGGTAGACTATGGCTGCCCTAAATCCTGAATTGAATAGAAGTGGTTAGAAAATTGATGGATGGATAAATGGAATAGTATTTCAAAACAATTCACTAAGTAGAAATGATATTTAGAAGTGAGAACTGGGGGCATGTCTTTGAACAAAGGATACTAGGAGTATAGATCAAGCTACATTGTTGAAGTCGATATCCTGATTTATTTCAAGAAATGGCTGGATGAAATCCTTTATTACTGTTCTTAATGTACTGTGCAGTTAGGAAGTTTGTAAATGTTTTGAACTAGCAGAAAAAATGCATTCACGTTCACAGCATTTTGTTCAACCCACAGAATTTAATGAGTGTCTTAAAAAAAACTTCCAGGAGCCTCAGAGTGGAATAACCAGTAAAAGTGCTATCTCAGAAGGCAGCTCAGAAGTCCGTGCTGTGCAAAGATTCGGGTTTGAACCTGAATCGCCAGGGGTGGTTTGTCTGGAGCTGGTCAGTAACTTCAGAGTACTGTGCAGTAGCTGCCCTGCTGCTATTTTGAGCTTGCCCGAGATTCACATCACACCTCTAGTCATGCTAACTTACCGTTGGGGGATTCGGTATTGCAAAACTTAATTTGCATTTCTTAATTTAAGAAAAGTGTTGAGTCTTGCCTTATTTATTTCTTCTGCAATATATGTGCATATACGTGGTTTGACTGTAACCCATCATATCTTAGTGAAAATATCGTGTAACATTACCATCTAGTGGAGCAGCTGGTTAATTGCACAACTGTTTTTGCTGTAATCTGAACCATAAACTGTTCTTCACAACTGTTTGCAGAGAAATAACTGGTACTCCTGGTTTATTAAAACCTGCAGTGAAAGAGAAGGAAAGAAGAAGCCTGAGAAAATAAAAAGGCATGCTTCAGCCAGGATTTGAACCTGGGCCTCCTGCGTGGTGTGTGAGAATTCAGCTGTTGAACCACCGATGTCGCTGTGAGCAGTCAGCCTGAGAAACTACTGTCAGAGCTGTTTCCAGCCCTACCAGGTCTTATCAGTATTATGTGAGGTCAAAGGTGATGTTCTTGGAAAGAAGAAATTGATTTTAAGTACTTCATCCCTCTACCAAAACATTTCCCTACGGTGTACTACACCTTGCAAACAATATTAAAAAGGTCATGTTCGGATGTTAAAAGCACAAATTAAAAGAAGCAGGCCTCTTAGTCCAGATCTAATAAAGGGATTTCTTCCTACAGGGATCCCTGAAACCAGTGGTTTCTAGCCTTAACCCAGAGTCCGGCAGCACTAAAGGAAAACTTTCAGAACTCATGCTCTCGAAACAGTATTTTCAGGAGTGCTCAAGAATATGTTTGTACAAGAAATAATCTGTGTATAGGTGTTAATGGCCACCAATTGGTCCAGAGCTCTCATATGTCCTGCAGACCACAAATCACTGGAAACTTATGTTACAATACAAGTTATCTAACATGTTGGATTTAGACAATACCTTTCTGGTTCATATCTTCATCTTTTTCCTATCTGCAAAGGTGAGTAAACCTTATGTCACATGAATAGCAGCAGGATAGAATGAATGACACAAAGTTCAGCCAAATTCCCTAATTTCCAGGAAGTGTTAATTGTCCCATTCTTACTTTTATGACCATAATTTCATTTGTGCAGCAGCAAGAGAGACCGTCTTTTGAGGAAGGAGGTGTTGGTAAAACACATTAAGATTGAGAGTCTTGACGTTCGTGTTGTATTGACCAGGGGCCACTTGTGTGCTCTGTCCCACCAGGCCATGCGCACTCCCAGCCGAAACGAGGCCGGTCTGGAGCTTCTCATGGAGTATTACAACCAGCTCTACTTCCTCGACCATCGCTTCTTCCCTCCGGGCAAGAACTTGGGTGTCTACTTTCACTGGTGAGGCAGCAGAGGACATCTCCTGGGGAGGCTGGGTGTGGGGACAGCATGTGCAGTTGTGTCTGTGGGAACGGTATAAGCAGTGGTGTTTGTCAGCATTATAGACTGCTGCCTTGAAGGACTGTTTTAAAATGAAAAGACGAATGTTGTTGTTTTTTTAATCGTTTACCTGAAAATTTCAAATTGCTAATCAGTTTATTATCAACGGTACCGGGCAACACTATTACTTGACCAAATTTGTTATTAATGGATTTTAAATTCCATACAAATTCATATCAAGTATCCTGCTGCATCCCAATGTTATAGGAATTTCCCTGAATAATCCCCCTATCATTCGGATTATGCTGAAGGGAGAATCTTGTAATCTTGTTTCCTATAGACAGCTGATTCTGTGTGTTCAGGTACAGTTATTAGCCAGTCGGACACTCTGTCCATTCAGAAATCAGTGCAGGGGTACACAAAGCAGGCAGCTGAAAATCACCACAGTCTTCCAGCCTCACAAATGGCCTCCATGAAAATACTCCCCTCTCCTGTTTTCACTTCCCCAGGTATGACTCTCTGACAGGAGTGCCGTCCTGCCAGCGAGCCCTGGCTTTTGAGAAGGGCAGCGTACTGTTCAACATTGGGGCGCTGTACACCCAGATAGGGGCGCGGCAGGACCGCTCCACTGTGCAGGGCATCGAGACCGCCATTGACGCATTCCAGAGGGCTGCAGGTACGTGCCTCCGCAGCACAAAACAACTGCTGCGCTTCATGACCCAGGCCTGTTACATCTTCACTGCTGCACAGGTGTCACCATTTTCAATATAAGTGTTTAAGGCATTTCCACGCTGTTGTAATGCTGGAAGCACCTGTGTGCAGTACTGTACAAAGATAGTGCATTGCTATGCCTTTGAGAAGAGGGCATTCTGTGCCTAGAAATCTAGGTAGATTTTAATAATAATAATAATAATAATAATAATAATAATAATAATTACTTACACTTACATAGCACTTTTGTGGACACTCCACTCAAAGCGCTTTACAGGTAACAGGGATCCTCTCCATCACCAGCAATGTACAGCCCCCACTTGGATGATGCGACGGCAGCAATAGTGTGCCAGAACGCTCACCACACACCAGCTATCAGTGGGGAGGAGAGCAGAGTAATGAAGCCAATTAATTGATGGGGATTATTAGGAGGCCATGATTGGTAAGGGCCAATGGGAAATTTGTCCAGGACACTGGGGTATCTAATACCCCTACTCTTTTTGAGAACCACCCTGGGAGTTTTAATATCCACGGAGAGTAAGGACCTTGGTTTTATGTCTCATCCGAAGGATGGCGCCCTTTTATAGTAAAATGTCCCCCTCATTATACTGGGCCATCAGGACCCCCACAGACTGCAGAGTGAATGCCCCCTACTGGCCACACTAACACTTCTTCCAGCAGCAAGCTTAGTCTTTCCCAGGAGTCTTCCATCAAAGTACTGACCAGGCTCAAACCCGCTGTGCTTCAGTGGGTTGCCAGTTGCAGGGTGATATGGCTGCTGGCTAGATTTTCAGGTACTGTAGCTGGCTGTTAGGGTTGGGATCTTGCAGTGTTGCCAGGAGTAGATCATGTGTGATTCTGGTCATGACAATCGTCAGCACCACAAACCACAGCTCGTTGGCCGACCGTTCTCTGTTGAAAGTGGTTCTGAACGAGTACGAAACTTTCCTGCTTTCCTGGGCGTTTATGGTCCGTGTCTGTTCAGGTGCCTTCAACTACCTGAAGGAGAACTTCTCCAATGCGCCCAGCCTCGACATGAGTGCCCCCTCCCTCAACATGCTGGTGCGCCTCATGGTCGCTCAGGTGCAGGAGTGTGTGTTTGAGAAGGTGGTGCTGCTCCTGGGGGATGGCGACGTTGCTGCCCACCTGCAGGTGGCTCAGGAGGCTGCCAGGGTGAGTGCTCCACACCAACCCCTCGCCACGGCCTGTGCTAGGGTTTGGACAGAGCAGCATTGAATTCAGTTAATTTCTGTATGTGCTAAGGATGACAGAAAGACACCAGCTGTGTGGAATGTTTGCAGACTGACACATTTCAAAGTGACGTGAGGGTGGGGGATAAGTGTTGTCAAAAATACTGCTGTATAAAATAATCTGTATGTTGAGCAAGTGTTAATCCTACATGTACTGTATACTGGTCCTGAAATACACCCGTACTTCTTTTTATACATGTTCTTTTTATGCAAATTCAAAACCATGTGAATTGTTACCCAAATTTTGAAGAACGAAAGCCAACTTTGAAACTACCAAGAAGCGATACGAAGAAAAATTTCGAAACCTCTGCCCAATGTACAGTAGTGAGTGAAGAGGAAGTCCTCATGCGACTCGTTTTATATTGACTATTCCCATCACTTTCCACTAGCTAGTATGGTTGAGAACTAGCACAGAGGATAAGGAGTGGCAGGAGCGACATACAGTTCACTGCGTCTTGCTTTCTGCATTGTTTGAACTTAGTTTTCATTTCATTTCATATTTGTGGGTTAGACTTTTTCATGGACCCTTAAGGTGTTAAGAGAATGAAATTGAAATTTTGTAATTACACTAAAAGCAAATGAAGTTGTTACTGTACAGTACTGTACTATACTTAATGATTCATGATGTCTAACTAGTAAGCATGTCAGTTATTATTATTATTGTTTCTTTTGTCATTTTTTGGTGAAAAATATATTTTTGGGGTCCGGAGTGGATCATAATTTTCCCCCACAATAAATAGATATTTCTTTTTAGGATTTTTCGCAATACAAAAGGGTTTCTGGGAACGAATTACACTTGCACCTCTTTTTACAAATGTACAGTGGTGCTAGAAAGTTTATGATCCCTTTAGAATTTTCTGAATTTCTGCATAAATTTGACCTAAAATGTGATCAGATTTTCATCTAAGTCATAAAAATAGATAAAGAGAACCCACTTAAACAAATAGCACACAAAAGGATATACTTTTTCATTAATTTATTGATCAAAATGATCCAACATTATTGGCCCATTCCTCCTTACAGAACTGCTTCAACTCAGCGATGGTGGTGGGTTTTCTTGCATTAACTCCCCGCTTCAGGTCCTGCCACAACATTTCTATTGGATTAAGGTCTGGACTTTGACTCCAAAACACAAAATTTCTTCTGCTTCAACCATTCTTTGGTAGACTGACTTGTGTGTTTAGGGTCATTGTCTTGCTCCAAGACCCACCTTCTATTGAGATTCAGTTCATGCACGGATACCCTGACATTCTCCTGTAGAATTTGCTGGTACAATCCAGAATTTATAGTTCCGTCAGTGATGGCAAGCCGTCCTGGTCCTGTGGCAGCAAAACAGCCCCAAACCATGATACTGCCACCAGCACGTTTCACGGTTGGGATGAGGTTTTTATTTTGGAATGCAGTGTTTGGTTTTCACCAAACAAAACGTTTCTCATTGAAGCCAAAAAGTTCTATTTTCGACCCGTTGGTCCACAGAACATTCTTCCTGTAGTCTTCTGTCTCATCCAGGAGGCGAGGCGAGGCGAGGCGAGGCGAGGCATGGCATGGCATGGCATGGCATGGCATGGCATGGCATGCACTCACAAACCTGTGGTGAAGACCAGCCTTTGGTAATGAAGACTCAGGTTTGTTTTTTAAATAGGGCAGGGACACCCAAACTCACACCTGATTGTCATCACATTGATTGACACTGCTGACTCTAATTATCTCCTTAACTGAACTGATAATCCTAGAGGTTCACATACTTTTTCTGGCAAAAACATTTAATTTAGGATCATTTTGATCAATAAATGAAGGAAAAGTATATCCTTCTGTGTGTTATTTGTTTTATTGTCCAGCAGCCATATCACCCTGCAACTCACAACTGGCAACCCACTGAAGCTTAGCTGGTGTGAGCCTGGTCAGTACCTGGATGGGAGACCTCCCGGGTAAAACTATGGTTGCTGCTGGAAGAGGTGTTAGTGAGGCAAGCAGGGGGTGCTCACCCTGTGGTCCATGTGGGTCCTAATGCCCCAGTATAGTGATGGGGACACTATACTTTAAACAGGCGCCGTCCTTCGGATGAGAGGTAAAACTGAGGTCCTGACTCTCTGTGGTCGTTTCTCGAAAAGAGAATGTAACTGGCCAAATTTCCCAAGGGCCATTGGCCCTTACCAATCATGGCCTCCTAATAATCCCCATCTATGAATTGGCTACATTACTCTGCTCTCTTCCCTACTGATAACTGATGTGTGGTGAGCATTATGGCACACTATGGCTGTCGTCGCATCATCCAGGTGGTGCACATTGGTGGTGGTGGAGGGGAGTCCCCATTACCTGTAAAGCGCTTTGAGTGGAGTGTCCAGAAAAGCGCTATATATATATAAGCAATTATTATTATTATTATTGGGTTTTGTTTGTTCTATTTTTATGACTTAGATGAAGATCTAATTTTAGGTCAAATTTATGCAGAAATTCAGAAAATTCTAAAGGGTTCGCAAACTTTCTAGCACCACTGTATGTGCTCATGAAGTTTCTTTAAAGCTAACTTTTACGGTACCTGAGGGAGATGTTTCAAAGTATTGAAGGAATGTTATAAATTTTATAAAAACTAACAGACTGCTTATCTTTTAGTTTTCTAACTGCTTATAACACTAGCAAGTGGGAACATACAAGGGGGCATCTATAGGTCTGTGAGTACAGCTCATGGCTTAAATATAGTAAAAAGGGAAGTCGAATTTCTTGTTTTGCAAATGTAAGCAATAACGAAAGTCTCAATAAGGAGTTGTTTTCCGTTATTCAAGCTTGACTAAGAACGAATGGTTCGTTTTAGAGATGAGGTAATCTATGCTAAAGGTAGGAAGTTTGTCTGTTACTGTGTATAAAAAGCGCTGAGCAACATCTTTCGGAGAGACTAGCTTCTGCAAGATGATCTCCCGAATAAACAGATCTTCTTTCACCAACATCCGGACTCTGACATTTTAATATTTCTACAGTATAGATTGGCAGATAGGGAGAGAATTGTATGCCTCTACTCTCTGAAGATGTCTATTCATAAGAAAAATTTAAACTTACTTCAAACCGTTGCTGAACTGTGCTGTGACTTCATATAATGCTACAGTAGCCAGTCCTTCGACAGCTTGTGAGCCGGCGAAAGAGGCGACTGCATGGAGAGCAGTGAGGTGTGAACTGAAGGCGCTGCTTCTCTCTCGGCCCTGGACAGGTGGCTGATGTGTACTCACTGGTGTTCCAGACCATGGCCCAGCCACCCGTGAAGGACTATGTGCCCTTTTCCTGGGCCACCATGGTCCAGGTCAAAGCGGAGCACTTCAAGGCCCTCTCTCATTACTATGCTTCTGTCGCACTGTGCGACCACGACGGTGAGTGTCTCTGCGCTTTCCAATTAATTGCTGTTCTCAATCTCCAAGTCTTTTCTTTTGAAGAGTTCAGTAAATGGTGAAAATGTTGAATGGATCAGTCATTCTTCAGTGGTTTACTAAACATTGCCTTGCTACTGTCATCTGATTTGGAGACGTAGTATAAGACTTTCGACAGTAACACCACCAAAGCAACAGTAAACACAGCAGCAAAAGGATGTTCCGTCTTGCTGGAGAGAATCAGCAAGAGATTCACATTCTGGCCTGCATTTTCACAACATGGCACATTGTTTTACGAAACACACTTACAATGTTAGACATAGGTGGAAATGTGTATTTAAAACTGAGAAAGGGAGGAACTTTTTTGCACAATTTTAATTGTGGGAGTAGGGAACAAGCTACCCAGCCACGTGCTTGAAAAAAGCCAAAATCTCAGTTTTGGGAAACAGCTGGATGAGATTATTGGATCATTTAAATTCTAACTATCGAACAGGGCTGAATGACCTCTCATTTGAAATATTTCTTATGTACGTATGTGCTTTGCCACATTACGGTGTGCGTGTGTCTGCCGGCAGTGCCTTCTGCGGAGGACGAAGGCAAGAGCGAGAAGGCGCTGTTGCAGTTTCACGCCACGAAGCCACAAGGGCCCTCGCTCAACGTGGTGCTGCGGGATGCCGAGGAGAGGCGCAGGCTGGGTGAGCACTGTCTCCTCACCGCATGTCTGCATGGGTCCACAGATACACAGATGCAGGAAAGTCTGCCTTCAGTGGGGGTGTCAGAGCCATACGTGTCCACATAATCTCAGGGGTCCACACCTGTACGACAGGAGACCGGAACAGCCCACTCTGAAACCAACAGATGCACAAGGCAAATCCTCTTTTGTATGTAGTGTTTGCTGTGGGTGTTCAGTGTAAAATAAATGCAGGTCCAATTCTTTGAGACTTTACAAAGAAGTCCCAGACTGAGACTGAGTCTCAAGGTCTCAAATACTTTTTCTGATGTTCTTCAAACTATACATGAGCCTGAAATGCCAACAGGACAGAACTCGACTGTTAAAAACTAGTCAGTCAGTTTGCTCACATGCATCTGTCTTTTACAAAAAGCTACAGTAAGTTCAATGTAATTAAAACTATACTCTTGCTGTGTGTAGAGCACAAAAGACAAAATCTGCTGTGTAAATAAGTATGGAACAAACTACCCTGCCATGTAATTGAAGCCGATATCTGATGTTTGTTTGTTGAGGTGAGATACTTGCATCAATTAAATATTAACTTCCAAATGAGCTAGATGGGATGAATGACCTCCTGTTGTTTGTCACTGTTTTTATATGTAAGACATTATGCAACATTGCTGACTGTCTCGATTGCTGTTTCATCAGTTTCATCAGTTTCCGGAGACACTCTGCTCTGACACCTTAATAGCGTCCAGATACCATCTAAATCAGTGATGCCTAAATCCCGTTTAGATTTGTTATTCTGGGGTCAGACTAGCATAACACCTGAACCTTTTTAGACTTGAATAGAGAAGATCACGAGACCCAAAACAAGTGTCCTCAAGTGCACTATAAACGTCAGCCCCTTCAGAATTAACAGTTAACATTTAACAGAACAGCACTGGAAGAATTAACATTTCCAGAGCACATACCTGGAAATGTGAAAGAACATTTACAGCAAAGCAGTCAACAGGAGGCACTTCTTAAGACAAAGGGATGTTGAAGTCTGGGACAAGCTACCCACTCGTGTTGTTGAAGCCAGTACCCTGACTTCTTTCAGGGGATGGCTGGATGAGATCTTTGGATCATTAACTATTAACCACCAAACTGGCCTGAAGGTCCTCTCGTTTGTAACATCTTTTCTTTTCTGTAATACAGTGGAATAGTTACAGAATTTTTTTAACGCTTCACTACATCTCATACTTCAGTGTATGAGCACAGGGTTGACTGTGCGATTTCCAGTGGTGATAAAAAGGAACTGCAACGCTATTTTCATATATTGGAGTTAGAAAGAATCAGCATTGATGGACTAATGACTAAATAATGAACTAAAATGTACACAGTAACTTGTAAAACCTATATTTTAACATCACAAAATAGATTAAATTTCCAGGTATGCGCAGTGCTATGTTCTGCTTTTTAGAATGTGGCAACAAAACTTCCAGGGACGTTTGTGACCCCTTGACACTGTAAACAAGCAAGCTAGTGAATATATCTCTTTTAATCCAATAGAACTATTGCTTTTGATTTGGAGACTTTTTTTCAGACAAATACTACTTATTTGTTAACTCCGCATGCAGATCAAGTTGGAACATTTCTGCGGTGAAATGTCTGCTGCACAATCTATATTCATACGCTCATACATCACATTACATTAGTCATTTACGGAGACTAGGGAGCAGGAAGGTGCCAAAACAACAACAACAAGACTTGCAGTATTTTCACAAAAGGTTTGTGCTTAATTCAAAATTCGGAACATTTTTCTATACCGTCAAGGAAGTTATTTAATAACCGCAGTTCCCCCTTCACTGTGAACGCATGCGTTCCTGAGCTCGAAGCTCATGGCCGGTGTGTGCTGTGTGCAGGAAAGGCGCACCTGAAGAGGGCTGTCATCCAACACGAGGAGGCCATGCGCATTCACAGCCTCTGCAGGATCCTCCGCAAGATGGACATCCTGCAGGAGGTGCTGTCTTTCACGCACAGGCGCTCGCTGGACAAATACTCTGAGATTGACCACGAGGACGACTTTTTTGAGACCTGTGAGGTTCCTAGCATTCATCGTGAGTACTGGGGCTTTGGGTATTCTTTGTTATCCCTCTGAAGGCCATCTTATCTTAGTCTCCTAACATGTACTGTAAGATATTGTCGAAATATTTTTTTTCAATTAGCTGCTTAGTTTCAGTTTTTGCAGTCTGTGACAAAGCAGGCTCCAGCCACCATGTTAGGAAAAGTGAAACATACATATTCGACCAAACAATAGGTTCTTCTTGCTGTGGCTAGTAAGTAGTATTTGCACCTGTTGGTGCACACAATTAAAGAACACAGGTTCATAAGTATTTAAAATCATCACAAATACTTATACAAAATAACAGACTCAATAATACTCACTTCCTGCTTGAAGGACCCATAGAACCAGACACCAATAGTTGTCTTTATCGTGCCAGAGGGAAAAATGTTCTCCAGAGATTGGACAGACCAGCTAATGCCTAGTTAATGTTAATTTATTCACATTGAGTAAAATATTATATAAATGTTTAAAGAATAGTATGTTTGAAATTATTACAATTTATTTTATTTGATATGTTATAGGTAAAAGTAAGAAAATTGCAAGTTTTCTTACTTAAGTTGAACAGCAATTTAAAAAGTTGTGCCAAGTTTCTGTTTTTCTCAGCTTATATTGCACTAGAATAAATATTTATGCACTGAAGCGCTGCTGTGTGCTTGCTTTCTTTATAATTGATTTTTTGCATGCCTTTTTGGCCTGAGATACCCTCACCAAAGTTGTGGTGTGACACAGTCTAATTCTTGTACACACATTTCATTAAAATAAATTGCCACTAAAAATTATTGCATTTTTTTCAGATGTCTGCCCTTGATAAAGAAATAAAGAAGTCCAAAAGATTCTCATCTGCTGAAAGTCACAAACTGGGTTTTTCACATAGTCTTGTGTGAACCCGGGCAGTGATATATTTTCGGACACTATGATATTAAGTAAAGTGAGATCATCTGTAAGGAGCGGTCTTCGTGTTGGCATGTTTTTGTGAAATGTCACTGCTTTGTGACACATTCTACCACGGCAGGTTAGCATTAGTACTGGAGCCTCTGATGGGGTTTATTCCAAATCCCAAGCCCACAAAGTTCATTCTACATGCTCTTCTACCAAAACATTTCTGTGAAATTGAGGTAAATCTCAAAATAGCTTTTATCCTCCGGTTTTTTTCAGCTAAAACGCAGCAGAAGCCAGAAATCAAAACTCCAAACTTTTCAAAAATTAGAATTACCGACATTTTTCACCAGCTGGTAAGTATTTGTAAAGGGATATGCAGGACGGTGGCTGTAAACAAGTGAGCAAGTAATAGGTTTATTCCATTTTGAAAAAAAGAAGAAAGAAAACACAGTGTTTCGGCCATGGAGCCTTCTTCAGTGCCAATGTTTTGTGTAAATGTGTGTGGAAATAGTGGTATTACTGATCCAGCTCTTGTTTCTGGTCACCTTTATTAAAGCAAAGAGCAAATCCAAATTTAATTTGGAAAGCATTCCTTACAATAACTTACCACATTGAAATTAAATTTCAATGTGGTACCTAAAGAAGGTGGTAACAGTATTCAGTAGCCCCCACCATTCTATAGAGATGGGTTCACTTTCAGTGCCTCTGGCGAGACGTGAACCTGTAGGGCACTGTATACTGTTCTTCTGCTGAAAACATGTACTTGAAGCTGCACAGCAGCCCCCTCTGCTGGAATCAGACAAGCGCACACTTGGAACGTGCTTCAGATCAACTGCTCACTCTGCAGCCCTTCGAATTCGCATTGGTTTTACTTCTCTCACCTCTCTCACACATTATAGCTGGCTTTCTTTATAACAATAGGTGTGGCAGCTGTGTGAAAGTACTGTAATGGACCTAAGAATATTGGAAAGTTTTCAGATGAAAGGAGGCCATTCAGCCCGTCCATGCTGTTTTGATCTTAGCATTTTCTTGAACAAGCCCAGGTACTGTGGCAGGGTAGTGTCCTTCAGACTCCTGCTGCCCTTGATTTTAAAAGACTCTTTGTTTGAAAGACCAGGTTGCCTGTAGAGCTGCTGCTTTACATTGTATATATCTCCTAAGCAAAAGGATGTGCTTGTGTGTGTATCTCCAGGGCCCTCTGTCGGTCTTCTCGGCCAAACACCGGTGGAGCGCCCAGCGGCGGGTCCGTCTGGGGAGGGGGGAGAGGAGCTTCGGCCTCACACTGCGGGGGGACTCGCCAGTGCTGGTTGCTGGCGTCGTGCCAGGGGGCTGTGCTGCGGTACTCCCTTCTTCTCCATTACTCTTTGGCTCATTCCTCTTGGCAGTTTAAGACTGCACAGCCCTAACTTACAGCTAACAGCAGGGCCAGGGTGCTCTTGCAGTGTATCCATAACAGAGAAAATTCTTATTAGATTATTAAGAATGTAATTACTGATATTCTCTGTATTATTGTATATATAACTATTATAATAATAGTATTAGTAAGAAGTTCAAGTACTGTAGGTAGCTGCGTCAGCATACAGGCTGAAAAAAAACAAGCAAAGGTTTATTCCATGCTGCAAAGAGAAGAAAAGAAACAACATTTCGGCTGCGGAGCCTTCTTCTTCTATTAAGAATATAATTACTGATTTAACAAGTATTTGTTTACTCGCCACTCTGCCTTTCATCTGACCCTGTCTGTCTCAGCCAAAACAGTTTGCTTGAAACTCTTCCGGTCGCCGATTTTCTGCCCAGCGTCTTTTTCCCTTGCGTGTCTTTTTTTAAAAAAGTGAGCCACACCAGTCCGGCCTGTCCACACAGGGAAAACAAACTGCCTGCTGGAGTTGTCCACTCTCCCCTTTCTGTCTGCCCATCCTGAAGATGGCTCCCCTCCGTGGGGCTCCAGCAGAGTCTCCCCCAGGGGCTGCCACCCATCCTCCCCTCTATACCCATCTATTCCTTCCCTCCATCACTCTCTCAATCCTTCCTTGCCTGCCTGGTTTGCTCCTTCCCTTCTTCAAACTTCTCTTTCCGTCTTCATCGTCAGGTGTCCCACCCTCCCCCACATCCTGCAACATCTTCTGTATTAGTTTCTTTCCCTTCCTGCATCCACCGGACTCCCCGTTCACATCCCTGGCAGCCCTATTAATCTGTTAGCCTTATCCCCTTTCATCTTCTGTTTGAAACTCTCTAACTTTAATTCGGCAACTGTGTTAAGGGGTCCCACTTGCTTCTTTTGGGGGATACCAGACTCTTCAGCCAGGAGGGTAATCCAGTAATGCAAACTAATTCAGATCTACTCCCTTTTAATTAGACCACACAACTTAAATAGGAGTTCCCCGGGGGATTTAGCGAGCACTCCTCTACAGGATAATACAAGGAGGTTTTGACTATACAGTGTGACCATCAGTAATTATACTTTGTCAGGTGTGTGGTATCAGTAAGGGTCTTTCAGGGGAGCAGCAATGAGATGCTGTGTGTGTTTCAGGAGGCAGGCCTGCGGGAGGGAGACTACATTGTGTCTGTGGATGGGGAGGACTGCAGGTGGGCCAAGCACGCCGAGGTGGTGCAGATCCTGAAGAGCTCAGGCGAGGCAGGCGTGGAGCTGGGTGTCATCACCCTGCACAGCCCGGAGCAGGGAGGACAGGTAGGACGCTCCACACTGGCTTGTCGCCATCACCGTGGGCATGAGAGGGACTCCGCAGGGAATGTCGAACCACTTTTCACAGCTCCTGAAACAAACTCTTCATTTTTGGGGTATCAGTAGTTACTTAAAAAATCCAGTACTAGGGCTAGTACCTAGGTATCCAGTACTAGGGCTGGGATAGTCAATAATTTGGTTATAATAAAGAAATTCTGATACAATGGCACCGGGGTGCAGTGGGTAGCATTGCTGCTGTTTGCATGGAGTTTGTATATTCTCCCTGTGTTCGCATGGGTTTCCTACCACAATCTAAAGACATACTTCAAGGTTAATTAGCTTCTAGAAAATGTGGCCCTTGTTTGTGGTTGTATCTGTCTGCTCTGCGATGGATAAATGTCCTATCCAGGGTGTACCCTGCCTTGCACCTGTTGCTTGCTGGGATAGGCTCTGGCTGCCCTGTGACCCTGTATTGGATGAATAATATAAGAATAAAATACTTTTTGTGACAATTACTTTTTTGCATTAAAAAATAAGGATACATTTAGTCTATTTGGCCTTTAGTCAAATTAGGTGCTAAAATTAGGGCCAATATTTTGGATTTTCAGAACCACAGCTTGTTGTGTCCAAACAAAGTACCAAATCAATTACTTTCAGTCACCAGGATGGGTGGAATTTGTCCTTTTAGGGTGCCCAGTAACCGCAAATGCTATTTTAGAAATTATTTTTTTCTTCTGTATCTGGTTTATTTTTTTGGCTTTGGAATTTTCTTTCATTATTTTTTATTGTGTACTGTGTTCTGTATGTATTCTCAAGTTCTTTGAGATGATTGAAAGGTGGTAAACAAAACAGCTTATGATTTGAATATACTTCCTGGCACTGGGCCTGTATTCCTTCGACAGCGTGCTCACCAGATTTTCCTCTGTGCAGGGAGAGAAGAAGTGTGTGCTGCTCTCTGCGGGGGGTGACAAGGAAAACACACGGCTCAAGAATCCCAGCACGGCCGTCCGAGGCTCCGGCTACCTGTTGCTCTGGAATAAGAAGAAGAGCAGCACTGCCAGCAAAAAGAGGGCAGGTGGCACCTTCAACCTCCCGTTTACCAACTTCCGAGACAGCGAGGCCATGTACTAGGCAGGGAGGCGGAGGGAGACCCAGAGAGACACCAATCCAAGCTCACCTCCTGAGAACGACCTTGAATACAGGTGGACTAAGCAGAGGGTGGACAGTGAGCGAGAGAGTAAGATGCCCGGGCCGACAAGACGGCAGGCTCTCGAGAGACACGCCAGGATGATGACCGCAGAAACCAGAAGGAAAGCCAGTAATTGGCGACCGAGAAAACAGAGATTCCCTCAGAGGGCGGACTGAGGTGGTGCCGGGTATGACTGTGGCACACATGGTAGAGACATGGTTTTTACTGCTGTCTTAAATTTCACACACAGCCATAGCGTGTATTGAGAAGAAAATAGGAACCATGGGCAATGTGCCCATTTCAGGAACTGCAGCAGTGTAGACATTTTTGTGGTGAGGTGAGGTGGATGTTGGGGACAACATGAGCTGCAGCTAACTTTAGGTAGACAACTGCGCAACAGTACTCAGAGCTGGAAGCCATCCAGCACGTAGAGCCAATAAGCCAGTGAGACCATGCTCTTGTATGGCTTCCTGGTTACACCATACTGACTAGCTCTTTGGCTTCGATTGATAACTGCTTCCGCCTGTGGGCTGCTTTGAATTCAACAGTGAAATGGGACCCATAGGATACACTTAGAAACTCACTGGAAGTCATTCTTAAACCAAGAACAAGAAGTGTGCTTTTTACGCAAAGGGTTTTTGGGTTCTGGAACAAGCTGTCCAGCCATGTTATTCAAGCTTATACCAAGAAATGGTATCATCCTTCGCTTCTGTCCAGAAATTGATGGCTGAGATAAATGGGGTCACAAGCAGGCCAGTGAGCTAGATGGGCTGAATGACCTTCATTTACAGACTGTGACCAATACACTTAGTAGCAGAATATATTTCTAACAGACTGACCACTCACACAGAACCATGAGTCAGCGCAACACAGCTCTCAGTGTTTTGAAACCGAGATGCCCTGGCACAGGCTCCTGATGGCTGAGCAAGGAGACAGGGCTCTTGCAATGTTATTACCCTGGCAGAACTGGCCAAGCCACGTGCACAGAGTGGGGAAGCACAGTGTTTCACTTGGGCACTGTATTGTACTCATTCTAGCTGCCACTGGACCCTCTTGAACTAATCTCAAGTCTAAACACCAGCACATTCTTTGTAGCTGTGTGTTGGGACATTGAGTCAGTGTAAATGAAAAGAAAATTAAAATTCACAAACAAAACCTTTTGAAGATAAACAATGTTTTGCTCTTTGACGTGACTGGTTCAGTTGTCAAAAAACAACCATTTCTGTTAAATGTAATTATATGTAATATATTTTTTAAAAAGTGACTATAGAGAAAAACTGTAGGGGCTGAGGAAAGCAAGATGGAAGATCATGTCTCTTTAAATGAGAAAATATACAGTATTGCCAGCATCATTTTTGGAGATACCTGACTCGTGCACTGGGTTCTCTTTAGATGAGTGACCTGGGATCTGTAACACAGACAAGCTTTCAGTTCAAGTTTGAGTGGAATAATATTAATTACACATTACAAAAGTGATTAAAAAACAAATCCATGAGTTTGATCTTGAAAAAAATGGCATTATGTTTTGATAAATAGCCTGGAGGCCTATCAATGTTATCTTTCCTGGTTTTACACTTTATTTATATCTACACTCTGATTAACATGCACAAATAGAGCATTGTGAAAATGTTAACCCTTTTTTCATTTAACTTTCTGGAGTCATGGGTGGCATGGTGCCACAGTGGATAGTGTATTTGGGGTGCCTGCTATATAGAGTTTATATGATGTGTTTACCTCCTCTAAAAGACATGCTAGTTATGTTAAATGGTATGTCTGAATTGTTCCTGTGTGCTTGTTACATGTGTGCCTTTTGCTCCTGGTAGAGGCACCAGGTTCCCTCACACCTCACTTACCAGAATTAAACAGCTTTTTGATAAAGTGTGGATGGATAGTGCAGCCATAATTCCACTTCCTACCCACAGCCCTTTGCAGTACACTAAATAGGAAGTCAATGGGTTTAACAACAGTGGTTTTATGTAGCTCATATTACAGGGCTCCCCTGGAAGCATTTTTCTGTAACTTGTTTCCTTGTTCTGTTTCTCAGTGGTTGTGTAAACATCAGGCTTTTTAAGGAGGGAATCTTTCTTCCAGCACTGTTCCCTACCTTGTGTTGCACTCTTGTGGTTTGCCCCCAAAACAGGGCCGCAATTAGTACAGTCAGCATTGCTGTGTTGACACTTAGATGTCCAAGTCATTTCATGGTCTGAAAACAGCGTGAAACAGAGAGGGATAAAATCATATTACTTTTGAAAGGTTTCCTTGTGCGATGCCCTTTGTTGTGAAAATACTTTACAGACGGTTTTCCTGACACAGTGGCTTCACCCACATGGGGAACTCTGTACAGCTAGCCATGTGGTTCGTGGAGATGCTGCTCTTTGCACACTGCTACCATCCTTGCCAGCGGGGGACTAAGGCAGCTCATCTGGAAAACTGAGTTTTAATCCGAGACTTGGAGTACGATGCACATTTCCAAGAGAAATATTGCCTGGGGTAAGGAAGATCTTGTCAAGCTGTATTGTTAAGGTGGCTGGTCCACTGTGACCTTCCAGGGAATGGTGTTCGGATCTCCCTGATGGAAGTGAAGGGTTCCAGGATGAAGTATTTCAAAATCATACTCTTGTCATGACAGCTACATCAGTTGAACATACTGAGTGACCCTTCTCCTCAAACATAACAACGCACTTGTTTTCTCCCTGGCTGGTGGTGTTTTTCTAATTCCCCCAGATACCAAGATGTTGGTATTGTTCAAATATTGCTTTCAAAGTGGAAGCCACTACAGCAAGCAAATAATTTCATTAATTTATGGGAGAAGTCTGTTCTTTTTTTACAATTAAACAATCCAATTAACCATTTAAAATAGCACTGGATGTATTGTTTGAAATTGGTGAGTGAGGTGCTTGTTAAAGCACAGCTGTTCATGTACTGGAGTGTTCTAGTCTCAGGGCGCTAGGCTTAGTCCCGGGGTACATGTGAGTCTTTCTTAGAAACACTTTCCCAACATCAGCAGGCTGCTACCAAGCATGAGAGGCTGAATGTGTACTGTTTCATACTGTATATCTCAGGGGTGCCACACTGTATCCTTTATGTTTAATTTTGTCACAATTTAACAGTTCTGGTTTGGAATAGGACAATTGCATATTGTAGTGGGGGTTTCAATAAAGTCATCTAAAAGCCAAACTTATGTTTAAATGAAGTGGAAGGTAGGAAAATGTCTGTTTTTATTAATCTGAATTTGTAATGTATCAAGCAAATTCACAGCATTCCTTCAAGAAGGTTTAAAAAGATCAGTGGAGTTCTGTATACCACCATGGAATGGTTGATAAAATTTAAATCAATCACCTGTTTCTGTTCGAGCTGAATTTTAATTTATGCGATGTACAGTGGTTATTTCATCAAGCAGTAGATCTTCTTGAAGACAAAGTAGATGACAGTTGAAAATTTTAGTAGCATGATTATATGGATTATGATACTTTTTGCTGATAAAAAAAGATACACTATGAATTTGAGATGCATCCTTAACCTTAGGTGTTTGCAAAAAAACAAGAGTAAAACAAAAGGAAATATTTCCAAAGGAAATCCAGATGTTCCTACCTGAACAGATAGTTTTATTTCCTAAAGTATTGCTGATCGATACAAACACCAGGGGAGACGGGGAGAACGCAAATCAAAACTTACTTCTGTTTTTCCTGTAGCGGAGAGGGTATTTCAACTCTTCAGTCCTTCCTGGACGGTGTGGCTTGGGAATCGTCTAATGAGCCAGTTCTCTGCTGGGATAAGCCCCTGCTGGCTTTGGTTGCTCCAGGATTGTGTGAAGCTGGGAGCTTGAGCTAAGCCCTAAGGATGAACACAGACGAGCCCTGGCCGAAATCCGGGACAAGACAATCTGATTCTTTAATCCAGATCAGAGGTGGATCGTGCAGTGTCTTATGGGACTTTTCAGAGTGTTTGCAGGTGTTTAAATGGGTGTTATTGCCATTGCATTTTTTCTTTTAGTTTTTGAGGTCTGTAGGCTTCTGCATCTCTCAGGCAGGACTTTAGAAACCAGCTTGGCAGTGAATTATGGTACATTATTCTCTGTGTGTCACTTCTCTCAGGTAGGACTCAGAGCAGGCTTGCGAAGCCTGCCCTGCTCCTCACTCTGGTTAGAGAAACCATATTTGTGAAAAGGCAAAGGCCAATAAGGGTATTACCCTGACTACAGAAACAGTTGCCTAGAAAGCCTTTCCTATTGCATCTAGAGAACTGGAGCCACCTCCTCTTCTCAGTGTGATACACTTAATTTTGTGCCCTCAAACTCGCTTTCTATACCTGTGTTTGAGTGAATATTACCTCTTGTTCACAGGTTTTGCAGCACCCACCAGGTCCTTGGCATATTTGCTATGTAAATTGGGATTTTTATTCTTCCTGTTATTTTAATGTATAATGAGGTGAGATCTAACAGAATGCATAAGGGTACAGAATGTAACAATAACTCACATGACTTGTGAGACTGAAGAGCTTTGCTGTGATACAGAGAACACCGAGCAGCTTTCTGTCTTTATTTCTTTGTAGTTCAATTCTGATACCTTTGTCACTGGTATCATGGATCCTTGGATAGCACAAAACAGCCTTCAAGTTTGTCCAGTCTGGAAAATTATTTAAAAATGTGCCAAACTAATGGAAGGCATTCTGTTAACATACTAATTAGTCCAAGTCATAACATGCTTATAATAGCATGTATAATAGGGTGATCTGCACTAACCGCTGGTAAACGTTGTTAATATTTACACTGAATAAATATATTGCAATACTGGTATCATACAAGAAAACTGAGAAGGAGCGAGTGTCATGGAGAACTGCCCAAAATCACTGAAATGAGCTAGGTGAAATGGCTGTGCCAAGAGGGCCTATACATAGTTGTGTCTTTGTCCAGGGAAAATTTTTATTTAAGGTTTTTCTGTCCTGTGAACATTAATGTATTGTTAGATATATGTATAATGGTTCTGCTGCTACCATCAGGCTTTTTCTCTGCTGTCAGCTGTAAACTATGATGAACTCTTCCAGAGGTTAGTGTATTGTGTGTATGTCTTAATGCCCATGTTTCAATTTCTATGTAAAAATACTGTTTTGGAAATTGTGTGCTGTTTGCTTTGATTGTGAGTTAATATTCCTAAGTGCAGTGATAGAGTTTGAGAGAAATGGTGTGGTGTGGTTCAACAATTCGGATCCTTTAGACTTAATGGTGGGAAGCTGAAAACAGCAAAGCACCAAATTTCAAGACAGTTTGCTCTACAGATGAAAACCATGTGTGTGCAATTGCTTCGATCTGTCAGTAGGTGGTGCTCACACACAGTAGAATCTCCACAGAAACGGCAGACAAGACCCAGTTGTCAGCGCTTGGCTGGCGACTCGAAACGGAAGATGTGCTCAGATGAATAAAGTGAAGAAATCTGAAAACCATGTGTACATTTCTCAAATTCATTTTTTTGTTTTCCTGCAGTGGTATGCGAAGTTCAAGCAGCCCAATGAGTTAAAGGGGGCATTTTCCAAAGCTTCCTGGAACGGGAAGTGGGAATATGATGGCGGCACACCCAGGCTTCACGGCACTGCTGATCTGATAATGGCCAAACATTCCTTTTTTAAACTGCCTTGAAGAAAAAAAGAAAACTTGGGTTAACTCTTACCAGGGCCCTCTGATTGGAGCTCACAGTAAACTTGGACCATGTAACTCATACATCAGTAACAAGATATTTAAAATGCAAGGCAAATACTCACAATTCTGCCATTGATTGCCTTTATTTGCCTTTATTTGACAGACTAGGGGACTATAGGACTCCCCTAAATTGATATAATAGTCAGCACACCCAGAGCTCTCTGGACTACCATGTTGGAGCTGTTAAATGAAACAAGGACGTTCATTACAATACATTTGATAATAATGTAGCAAACAAGCAGTTTTAGTTTAAGACACGTGTGGGTGCACCCTTCTGCGCACACACAAAGTCCCCGCTCTGGTGCTCTCCAAACCCTGCTCTACTCTACAGGTCCTGGCCTGCCTCGGCCCTCTGCTCATCATTACTGCAGCCACACAGGGCCTCCTGACTGCATTTAACACAGGTATGCACAACCCGGTGAGCACACACGTGAAGAGGCACAACACACACACAACCTGCTGCTTCCTCATTATGTAAACTCCAGTCACTCATTAAATTTTCAAGAGATGATCAACAATACATAGAAATAAGTGCCTTATTCAGTTTTTTTAAGTGGTTTAGTCCAGGAAAGATTTTTTTAAAGGGTAGCAATATACAGACATAACAACATAGATCATATGTTTCATTCTTACACTTGGTAAAACAAAGGGTTAACTGTGAAGCCGATGAATTACAGACTGTAAGTCTGGATCTACCTCATCTGGTTTTTGGGAGATATTTGGTAAAAGGATCTCTTCCACATGTTTTTTTTTTGAGAAAACGAGCCTAAGTTTATAAATGACTTTCCTTTATGCCTGACCTCTCATTTCTGAACTCATTCCAGAGATCTTTTTTGTATCCCAGTGACCACAATGTTTCATATGAGATACCACTAGTACATTGTAAAGTTTTAACATGGTTTAAATTTTACAGTTTTATCCATGAAGGTTATTCTAATATATACTAAGTTTATTCTCTTAGCCTTTTTATTGTTTCCACAGTGCCTAGCAAATTTGACCACATAAAAACCCTTGCAAGTGTTTTCACCTCAAATAAAAAGTCCTTCTTATACAGAAGGTACTGTACCTTCCTCAAGCCCACTCTCAAGTTTTGTTAGCATTGCCTTTGCTGCTGTTATGGCATTTGGTTCCTCCTAATTTTGGTGTCAATTACAACTTCATAAAAATGGTTTACAAACATGAAGAAGTCATTCAGCCTGTCTAGTTTTATTTTTTCTGACAATGTTATCCAAAGCCTATTTGCACCTGCTTATATCTACTTGGGTTATTTTACTAGGATTATTCAGGTGAAGTATTTTGTTCATGAGTACAGCATCAGCATTTCTCCTGGTAAATTTCAACCCACACTCTTCTAGTCCCGAGTCCAGAATCCTCATGGCTGCTCCACACCACTGCCTGTCTTAAAGCAGGTTGAGGAGGAAAGGAAGTGAAATGAGGGAAACTGGAAATACAGAGTGTGAGCAAGAGAGAGATAAGAGGAAAAGAAAAATGAAGGCAGGAAGAGAGTGAGAAGGAACAGGCCCAGGGAGGGTGTGTGAGAGACAGGGGACTGATCCTGTTGTCCCATATTACCGGATAATTACTGCTGTAGCCTGCTGTCTTATTAAGCACATTAATCCAAAAACAACGGCTCTGCTCACCTGCAGATGAGAGCTGGCTTCTAATTGATTCATTATTTTTGTTGTTGTGGTTAATTAAGGAAGGGAGTGTGTGTGTGTGAGTGTGTGCATGTCTCCACCACTCCTTTTCAATTTCTCACTGGTCCCAGAGGCGAGACAGGTGCAGCAGGAGGCATTTACTGCGTTCACACTCTGCTGTTTATGGGAGGTGGCTCAGAGCAACACCCAGGTTTCCTTCCACAACTCACTGCTTTTGTATACTGTACATTTCACTACAAATAACTGTCTATTGGGAATAGTTCTCCATAACACAGCAAAGAGAGATAGCGAGGCCACTTATGCCTATATGCGTCCTGTAATTCATTTCTAAAACCTTGCTAAATCACTGATAGCCTAATGGAAAAATTGCAATTTTACTATTAAAACCCTTGAGTGACAATAAAACCCTAGCAATATTAGCAGCAATATTAGGAGAAGAGCAATTAACTGCGGCCAGTCAAGGACATGTATTGCGGACGATAATCGACAGGTGTGAGCTCACCCCAACAGATACTGTTTCCCCTGAAACCGCTGCCTCTACTTCTACCAGTAAGACATTGCTTTCGCACTTCCACTGCTTTCCTAATTTCAATCCCTCTCCAGAGGAATGAGCTCAACTCTCTTCTCCCTGCCCATGGGAACAATTCATGTCTCTTCTTGGAAGTGCTTGTTTTGCGAGGCTCTCCTTGTTCCCTAGACTCCCATTCCACCCCAGTTTTGTTGGGAAAAGAGTACAGGGAATGTGGCCTCAAATAGCGTGGAATGATTGTATTGCCCAGTGTTGGGCATTAATGTCCTAGTGTGAGGACAACACTGCTGGGGACTGTGGTCAGGTTAACCACTTTTGGACTTAACATGACCGACCACTTGTTGAGAAGAACTGGCACGTTTATTTTAGCCCTGAACCTTTCCTTTCCATTTTTTCCCAATGGTTGAATAAAAATTGACTTCAAGCTGGCATGGTGATGTTCAGCTGTGCAAATTTGTTGTTTGGAATTTTAAAAGGAGTAATCTTTGAAGACAGTTCAAGGCTTCTTTATTTAATGGAAAATAATCATTTTTGTGTAAGCTAAACTTAAAACCTGAGAAGCTGCTGGAATAATCTGACAAGAAAAGCCTTCTGTTCCTGAACCTCACTCCCCTTATATTTAAGTTTTTGCACAGTGAAATAGATGTTAGATGGCAACTAGGGGGACACTGGGTAGTGGGTGATCCTCTGGACTCCTAACTCACTTTTTGTGAGTTCAAGTCCCCACTGTAGACACTGGTCTTGTGCCCTTAACTGCGGAACTGTATCCCAGCTTCAAAACCGAAAAAAACAGGAGAGGACTGGACACAAGCTGTTAGATGAGGTGGATCAAGACTAGTCTCAGCTGAGGGCTCAGCACACTGAGCAAGTTTCTCTGATGGTGCAGAACTCTGCCAGTTCTGAAGACCCAGTGTTGTGGCGCAGTGTAATTCTCCGCTCTCTAAAGCGATTCTGCGTGGCTCCGGGCCTTCTAGTGACCGTGTTTGATTCCTGACAGAGCTGCTTCACCTGACATGGGTTCCATGTCAAATTCTCTTGTGGCGGTCTTCAGATGTCACAGAGTTCTCCTCTGTTTAAGAAATGGCACTGTGTCTGCTCTGAGCCTGCGAGAGACTGTGATTGAATCCCGGTAGGGTCAGAGCAGAACTACATGCTTTCCATAAAATCCCAGTCATGTCCTGGATCTGCATGAGCATCCAGATACAGATGAGCTGCACATCTGGTGACACATGCTGTAGATATAGAAGCTGGCAAACTGCTCTGGCTGTAAAAGTCACTTAAGTCTCACCAGAAAATTGAATTTTATCATAACATTTTCAATCCAGTCTTTTCATTTATTAGAAAAAATAAAACTCTAAAACTTTTCCCTAAGGGTATCTATCTTAGCTGCTTCTACTAGTGTTTAAAACCCAGCTTTTTAAAGGCAGAACCAAATTACCATTCAAGCTCTCTCAGTGCTCCTGGTAAAAATGGGACAGCTCCTTGGATGAATGTGTGTGATTTTATCTCTGATCAGATGTAACACTTGTGAGCAGTAAGCTTTTATACATGTACATACCAGAATCACTGTTAAATATGACCTTGAGTTTGATACAATTTGATCTCAGAAAGGAAATGTCTTAATTTTGGCTTCTTAGTATTGTTAGGCCTAATATTAAATGTAAGTAAACCATAAGTAAAAAAACAAAACAAAAATAAAGGTAAGACCAATAATACTAGTTCAGTTGTTTTAGTAATTGCAGTTAAAACATATTAATTAGTTTAAAGGAGGTCTACACTTAATGTAAACTGTCTGGACAAAATCTCTGGATTGACAAAAACCGAACTGAATGTCAAAAATTCTTTAACAGCATTCTCACCTAGAATAATACTCATATTTCAGCCTTTCTAAACACAATCAATTCGTCTAATTCTAACGTTATCTGGAACTAGTAGTGCATAGGAGCCTATTGATAACTTATATTAAAAAATTGGATGACCCCAAATTGGTTGGCAGAAACATGATATTAACTGGCAATACTCAAATATAATGCACAAAACAAACCATAGGATGTGAGACAACCATAGGATGAAGTTTATATTACTTACTATTTGAGGCCTAATGACTTATTATGGTAACATAATTACAAGCAGAGATGTAACAAAAGACACAGATAATGTGGAGCTGTACACTGCTGGGTTAGGTGATGTACTGTATTAACAACTCAATTCTGATTCTAGATGTGCTGTAAATTCCTCAAATTAAACTGGAAACTTTGGACTAAATGTAAACCAAACACAAGAGGAAAAGATGGTGCCGACATACCAGTGCAATTATGTAATCAGGCCTTGTTATTAATATAATCTTGCATTCGATGGATCGAAGTCTAAGTATCAGAAAAAAAAATTACAGAGATCCAGGGGAAACTGAATACTGCCACTTAAGGGGAGCCATGTAGAGGAGGTGCTAGGAAAGGAGCTCACTGCTTTCTGGGGAATGAAGTGTGGACAAGGGCTGCCCTCTTACAATCCATACTGGGAAAATCTGGAAGGCTAAAGAACAACACCAAGGAATAAA